TATTATTTATTCAATAAAGGGAATAATGTTTCATTATTTATGGATGGATGTTTCTTTGTCTATTGTAACAATAATAAAGTTAAGGAGATGGACGCGGAGGGAGGTTTTTTTACAAACTAGAGACGATTATTACTTTGTTATATGTCACTATAACCATTCAATAAAGATTAGTCGATTAAAAAAAAGATAAATTACATTGGTTTAAAGTTTAAATTGGTCATCAATTCTCATTAAAAAATTTTTTTTCGTGTAACTTGTCAATCATAAAAATCATTTTAAGGCAAAAAAATCAAATGATAAACAATGCAGTATTTGCCAAATAAAAATAACCTGTATTTTTTCAAAAAAAAGTTGTATCAAAAAATTATGGGTTATCCTCAAATGAGTTCATCTTTTTTTCCTTTAGCCGAAACAAACCTTATCAATATTTTCGAACTTTTTTTTTTTTCGAATATCTTTGTTCTCGGGATGTCCGCTTTATCAATAACTTTATCCCCTTTTCTTTGAAGTATGACATACTTTGTATGTTATATTTCTAAGGCACAAAAATATGGGGTTTTTTATTCTTGTGAACTTAATAAAGTTTCGAAAAAAAAAAAAAAAATTTTTTTTTTGGCGTTTTTTTTTTTCTTGTGAAATATGTCAAATAAATCATAATAATTACCATGAACGATCACTTAAACCATACCGATATGGTACGGAAAAAATTAAATTTTTTTTTTCTCAATGCGTCTTTTGTAATCTGGGTACCCGTCCTTTTTTTACTAAATAGGTTTTTAATTTTTGATGTTTGTTACAATTCATTAAATAATTCGATGTATGAAATGATATAATAATGCTCTTGGTGTAATTTGTCAAGCTTAAAAATGATCACACCTCCCGAGTTCCGAGGGTGAAAGAAAACAAACAAATTAAAATTAAATTCCGCCAAACAAATCAAATTCATTGTCATCAATGCGTGGAAGTAATAATGACAATGTTGTAATAAATGTGATGGTTTCGAAATGAAAACATCATTTATCCACGATGATTCGATCTGCATGTCGAGGATCAAAAAAAAAAAAATAATCTCACATCGACAAACTTCTTTTTTTTTATTTTTTTTTTTATTTTTTTTTTTTTGACAGCTTTAACAATAGGGACATTCGCATATACACATATATGGAACGCATCTAACCGCCAAACTGGCGCAATCATAAGGAAAAAAAAGAGGCAAAATTAATTTAAACGAAAAAAAAACACCCAAATATTGATATGCAAAACAAGATTAACGCCCACATACAATGACTATTATGATCAAGTTTTTTTTTTTTTGTATCCTTATCTGGTAACTTTAAATGCCGCCAAAAATTTAACCATTTAAATGAATAATTGGTGTTTTTATTTTATTTCAAGTTTGGTTTTTTTTTTAAAAAAAATTTATTTATTTTGGTGACATGAAAGATGGATAAAAAAGATAAAGATTTTTGATGGAAACTTATTTTGATTGATAGATAAAGTGAACTTTTCTCATGTGATAGAGAAAGGACTTTAGGAAATTTTCAAATACTTGAATACTTGATTGATTTCATAACGAGTGTTGATTGTTGTTCATATACATCGCATCGAAAACACTTTTTATTGAAAAAATAAAATCATATCTATGGTATTTCATACACAATGACTAATAATAATTATAAAAAATTTGATATTTACGTAAATGTTTATGGAAGTTTTTTTTTGAAATACATCTAAAATTACAGGTTGTATAATCATCTATAATAGCAGTATGGCGCGCGAGGCGCATATTATCATTATGATCACTTCCAAAAGCAGAATATTCTTTGATTTTAAGGTTTCTTTTGCATTATTCTTGGTGTAACTGTTATGACAATCATTACTTATCCTTTTGGGTGGGACACATGAAAGTGGATATTTCCATCCACATGGCACTACGTGTGATGTAGATATCAAAAAAAAAAAATTTTCGTTCATCAATCAAGCAATGGCGTTTCTTCTTCAGATCTTAATAAAGGCTGTGCACCAAAGGGAACAGTAATAACGATTATGATGACAGTTTTCAAAAGGATAGATAGGTTTCTTTAGTCTACAATATTGTATTCTCTTGCTCTTTTATAAACCGAAATACCAATACCAACTAATCCAAGTTTTTGTAATGGTAATTTAACATTTATCAGTGCGATTTTAATTTTCACACATGTTTGTTTTGAATTATCGAATAATTTTAATTAAATTATATCGATCTTCTATAAACTTCGCATCTTGTATAATATCAAAAACTTAATGAATAAATGTTGGCCAATTGTAAAAAAAAATGAAATTGATTTTTCCATTGTAGTAAATATATCTACCATCAATATATAAAATTAATGTTTTAGATCTATTTATACCGTATGTTTCTGTATTTATTACTTAAAACTGACTTGTTTCATGACGATAACGACGTATTATGAAAAAAAAATTGGTTAATTTCTTTGCAAGAATAAATTAATGACCAAATTAACAAGCTAATTAACCTAAAATATACTGTTTAAAGAATTTAAAAATTGCTAATTATTAGATTTAGAAGATATTATCTCTTAGCAGGTTATTTTTCAGTAAATATAGTAAATATCTCTATCAAAATAATTTATTTAAGTAAAAATATAGTATAAAATTAATTATAAAATTAAAAATCATTTTCTGTTTTTATTGTTTTTATATTAATAGAGTATTTGAAATTATAATAATGAATGGTTATTATGTAATATTAATTTTTATAATTTGTGATTGTATAAAATCTCACTTTACAATAAACTGTAACATATAAACTCATTAGTTATAATGCTTAATTATTTTAATTATATATATTAGTATTTATGATTAAAAAAGCATAAATTACTATATCATATCAAATTATTAGTCCAGAATAAAGTAAATGACTATATGGAAGGTTTGCTAGGAAAATGGAATTCTGAGAATTTTTTAATAAAATTTAATTTTTATTGCATTTTTGAAAATAAAATGCAATAAGTATGAAATTTTAGTCAAAAAAATTTGCAGAAACCCATTTTTCTAGCAAACTTTTTATGTATTACTAAATATGTTAATAATTAATATTTTGTTATTCATTTGCTTAATATTAGAATTGTACATAATTGGTCTCTTTCATTATACTTATATTCTAGTCTTACTGTAAAATTGTAAAAATAAGCATATTATTGAATATAATTGATCTACTGATTTGATGCTCATGTTTATCTAATATTTGTTTGCTCAAATTTCTTCTATTATCTTTATATGGATAGTTTAATTGGATAGCCAATTCACAAGAGAATCTTGAAGCTATTTTAAGTACAGCTGATGAATTTTATTCTTTCACTTAATCCCTTTAATAAAGACAAATCAAAATCAATTACTATAACTCAACGTTAATCATCTACTATTAACTTTAAATTTGGGTTATCTACAATTAATATTACTCCTAAAATAAGATCAGTTAGATTTTTAGGAGTTTAGGTCATCAGCAAAATAATTTTAACCTTTGTCAAACAATAGATAATTCAAGACATTCATCTTAATATAGTTTAAATCCTTTACAGATAAGCAAATAGCATATATCATCAACATGGTTCTTTATCTTCCCATAGAATATCAAATGTAACTTATCCCATTGCCAAAAAAAATGCGATGGTTTTTTTGCTTCCATTTTGTATCTTAATCAAAAGAAAATGCAAATTTGCTAGTACTTTTTCTATCACATTACTTCATTTTAAAGAATTTATAATTTTGAATGACCTATAGTCTTTATAAATTAAATTCATATCAAATGCTTTTTTATATCGATTCAATAATTCTACATCATATACATATATTTCTAAAATCAGGCTTTTTTAATTATAGTATCAATTCACTCTTAATGTTTCACCCTTAATTTTTTGGCCTCAACTTTATAATAGCATCTCTTATAAGAACCTCATTAGTGCATTTTTGAGTCTCATTATATCTATTTCTTCAAAAATTGCTTTCTTTTCTTCTATTTTAAAAAATTCAATTAAAGAAGATAACTATTTCTTTTTTTCTTTTCTTTTTTTTTAAACATTAAAAATTGCTAACAAATCACAACCTCTTCTTTTTAAATCAACTAACCTTAATAAATAGATATCACTTGATTATAAAGTCTAACTTATTATTAAGAGACTTTAATTATGTTAACAAAAAAATAGGAAGATCAAATTTCTTTGAAATTTTGTAAAAAATAATATTAGCTGATTTCTTTAATAAATTGCTTAAACTAAAATTTAGATTGGATGCTACTCTTCCTTCTTATAAATACCTAATAGATTTTGATACTCCAATTTTATTCATTTACAAAAAAAAAATCAGTTGCCTTTTAAGAACTTGATCTAAAAAAAATTATTTATAGTTTTATCTTAATGAAATAATCTGACTGCTCATAGTTTATTTATTAGCTAATGTTTCGAGCGAAACTGCTTTGTTATTAGCAAAATATTTCACCTTTTTAAAGTTTCATTTTGGTCAAATCTATTATTTCCAAAATCTACCTAAAATTCCGTAACTTCTGAAATTTACCTAAATTTCTATACTAAATTTCATAATCTGAAAATATTTGTAATTTCCAAACCTGTTTAAAAAAACTTATAAAAATAAATGTTTTATTAATTTTATAACTATAACTAATAAATTTATTAAAAAATTAGGCGAATAAACCAAAATTACGAAATATTAAAAAAAATTTAACAGTTAATAATTTTATTGTAAATCATATTATAAGCATTGAAAAATGAAGCTATATAAGTTTACATATTATTAACTATGTCATTATTCTCAACAACTAGATCTCACTCCTTCATATCAATCTCTTTAACTTTTTCAACTACATTTTGAATATCTTATTCTTTCTTTATATCCTCTCCCAAACTATCTTCAATGATTTCGTTTAAACTATTAATAAATGCATCTGCATCTAAATTCAAAAACCTACTAATTGTCAAATCATCTTTTTCATCAAATGAATTTACTTCTATATTATTAATATCATTAATATCTTCTTCTATGATTTCAATCAGATCTTCATTTGGATTTAAATGCATATTAACCAAAATTTCACAAATTTTATTGCTTGTTTTTTCTATACTATCCCTTAGACTGTATAGCAGGCAAATTTGCCTACAAAATTAAAAAAAAAGGTTAATTTCTTTATAAAATGTTAAATATTAATTTTAATAATATTATTACTATATAAAAAATATAGTTTAATATATATTTTATCAACTTTATTAATAA